TTATTCTATACCAGCCAGGCATTTTTTTAAATGACTATGTTATAAAAATTCAACAAAAGAGAAATTCAGCACAGGTGACTTTAATCTCCAAAATACTAACAGCTCATTACAAAAAGACACCTAAAAGAGAATAAGGGTTATGTTCATAGAGTGGAGTAGGTTATCTGAATAAAAATGGGGATCTTTGCAATATAGTTAGAGATACCAAACAAATCCAAATAGACCTCAAGGAAGACTTTATATACAAAGAAAATCTCATAGAAAATAAAAATAGAATGTTATTTCAATAGTAAAATAAAACAATATATAGCTCCTGGCTTACTAACTTTGCTTAAATTTTGAGAATGAACTGAGTGTGTTAATACATTAGCTCCTTTTTTCTAATTATATTAATTATACAAACTATTTTTGATATTTTAAAAATACCATATAAAGAACTGAAAATGGACTAAGCATAAAGAAATTTAAAGTAGAAAGAGATGCTACTGTGTTAGCATATATGCTACTGTGCTATGCAAAATATAATTAAATTTTTGTCTAAAACAAGGAAAAATGCTTATAATTTGTGCACACATTTCATTTTTTAAAAGTTCAAATTGAAGAGTGCCATCTACTTGACAGCAACTCTTTCTGGTTTAGAAATCTTACATCAGGTATTTTACTTAAAAAAAAGAAAAGAAAAGAAAAGCCAGAGCATTCCTTTGGCATTTCTGAACCAAGATTGGCTTTTTTGAAAATGTTTAACATGAATTTCTTTTTCCTTTAAAATACTTTTATGTTCTCAACCATATTTGATTTGTTTTTATGGTTTTTGTGATGTTAGGGATACAAGACAAAGTCGTGTAGATGTCAGACACCATATTTTAATTTGTATGAATTTCAAAATGTATCATTTAAATTCAAATATTAAATAAAGTCTATGCAGATGTTAAATGCTCAACTATGAAAATTATTTTCAATAAATGTTGAACATAGGTCTATGTAAGATGAATATGGGGCAGAATCATAAAATCAGGGCAAAAATAATCACCATTTGCTCACAAATATATATTTAATAACCCAAAATAAAATCAAATATCCATTGTGTACAACCTATTTAATTCATCCTAAAAGTGTAGAATTCTAGCATTTCTATGTTTGATAGATGCTAATGAAGTCTTTTGTGTACTATATATGTTTGTATAAACAAATATCCCTAAGCACTACAACCTCTTCTTGTTTTTCCCTTTCTGAATGTTTAAATCTAAATAGTTGAAAATTAGGAAGATGGACAAAAGCAAAGATATTAAGGTGAACAATTGTCTTTCAGGTTTGTGATCCTTGAATATTATGACAGAAATCATCAGAATGCTAATTTAAACCATAAGGCAAGGTCCTAGTCCCAACCAAGAACCAGAGCAAATTCCCACATTAGCAGTGATTCTGAACCACGCGCAGGAACAGCATGTTTAGTTTGCTTCACTCCCCTATTCCCACTTTTTCACACTCAAACGACTGTGTTCTTCAAAAATACTGCAAAGTGGGTGCCTACGCCAGTGTTATCTGCCAACTGTTGAGGGTTCCAGCAAAGCTTGTTGGAAAGTGTAAATTAATTCCATCATCCCTTTTTCAATAAGTAAAATGAAAGGGTAGAAAAACAGGCTCTCTGGTATTTACTGCAGTCTGAAAATGGTAATATATGAATGACATATTTTCACCCTGGAAATGCAAAATTACTCTAGAAACTGGCCAGGATTTTACTGAAGTTGACTGATGAGTGATGGAAAGCTATAATGTACTCTGTCTCATGCGGTTTCTAAGAAAACCTCTAGGTGAAAATACATGAGAAAATTGCTCTCTGATAAGAAAAACTCTGCTAGATTAAGCTACAAAAGGATACCAACGAATGGATTCTAAATTTTCATGGAATTTTTATGATCAAAATGGTGTAGGATTTCAAAAAAAGAAGAGAATTTTAGTATTGATTCACTTTAATACTTTCAGTGAGGTGAATGTGTTCATATGCATAATCCATATATGTCTCTACAGTGTTCATTACTTCATTTTTATTTTCAGTTTCACTCTTTGTCCTATATTACTCTACTCTAGTAACACTGTTTTACTCACTACAGTATCTCTCAGGTTTACTAATTTATGTTTCAGTTTACCTGCTTAAAAGTAGCATGACTAAGAATTTCACTATTCTCTGGGATAAAAGTTGAATTCTAGTCACAGTACTAATTTTACTTTGTAACTTTGAAGAAATCAATTAAGCTTTTTGAACCTCAACTTTCTCATTAGAACATAGAAAGAGAAAATCCAATCATCTCTACCATTTTCTTCAATTATCATCTCTAAATTATTTGAGGTGCCTTTGCAAAAATTAGCTAGATATCATTGCAAAACTTTGCCATATCTCTTTATGCCTGAAACAGAAGGTAGAGCATTTAGAAAAATGTACAGAATTCACAGTAGCTCACTGTTTCCTGGTAAACAGCTACAATAAATGCTTATCTTTGAGAATGTATAATTACCATTCACAAGATTGATCTAACTTTAATTTAATAGCTCCTATAAAAGAAAAAGAATTCCAAATCAAAATAATGAGCTAAAGAATCAGGAAAAATACATACAAGCTTATCAGCTGATTTTAACATCACCAAATACTTTAGAAATAATTTTTAAGTGACAGTTAAAATTTATATCTAAACTAAGTCAATTTCAATTTCTCATGTCAAATGTTATTTAAATTTTCTATTTCATCTTGTGTCACTTTTAGTATATATCTTTTTTCAAAAAATGATCATTTTTCTCTTAGCTGAATAGAACAGGCATGAAGTTATTCACATATTGTGCTATTTTCCTTTCAATGTAGATGATACAGAATGGTACCCTCACTCTCATTCTTGATATGGATGATTTGTATTTATTTCTATCATGCTAGGAGGTTAAAATCTTTACTAATCATTTCAAAGAACTAATTTTTTGCTTTATTAGTTTACTATTTCTTACTTTTCTATTTTAACATTTTCTATTCTTTCTTGTTTTTATTAATTAATTACATTTAGTGGTACATTTTAGGTATACATAATGATTACATTCATCAAAGGGAACCTGCACCTGTACATGATATATCTTGGTTCTCATTTTTTCCCATTCCCCTTGGCATGTTAATGTGTCTTGGAAAAGAATATGTATTCTACAATTCATGGATGCTGTCTTCTACAAATATAAAGTTGACCACAGTAGTGGATGGTTGGTTCAAATCTCTTACATTTAGAATTTTCATTTGACCATTCTTTTGGGGTGGGTACCGGGGATTGAACTTGGGCCCTTGCATTTGCAAGGCAATTCATGACATTTTTTGATAACTTCTATTTCTGCACTGGAATTCCGCGTCATTATTAATATGTTCAGTTCTTAAGTATTTATAAAAGCTGCAGTAGAGCCCTTGACTGCTACTTCTAACATCCAGAATATCTTTTTCTTTTGATGTAACCAATTGAAGAAATTGTAAGCTATAAAAATAGTTGCCTCCAGGCTGGACTACAGTGTCCACTACACATGCACAGTTATGGAGCCAGCCAAGGATTTTTATTAAAGTTTTACATAAATCCAGGTCTCCTCTCCCTGGGAATTTCTCCTTTGTGAGATTCCCTAATGAGCTTCCAATCATTCTGGCAGCCACAAATTATGTCTTTGCACAACTCACACCAATAACACTATGAAGTGCTCTGCTGAGATCTAGCTATATCACATGGCCTCACTTGTGAAAAGCTAGACAAATTGGAATGACACACTTTGTAATTCCTGTTTTTAAAGGATAAAATTCACTCCAGAGTCTGTCTGTACTCTCCAGTGTCTTCAAAAACCTTTAAATGTACAGTAATTTATAATCAATTATTGAATGTACTACCAGTGTACAAGAAAACACAGGTTTGAAATCTGCCTTTTTCAGAAACTCCCTATTAACTTCCCAAAATCCTATATTTTTATCTTACCTTTCAGTCTACTTCACAAAATCAGTAGTTTTTCATAGATTTATCAACACATTTGCTACATAAGGTACAAAATAATGTAAAAAAAAAAACCTGAATATCATCATTGGAAAGTATGTTTTACCATAATGAATTATAGCCCACAGCTTCTTATAAACAAACAGCTGAAACATATTCAACAAATGTTTACACTGCATAAATCTAGATACCAAAAATGAAAGTTGGGTCTCTGATTGCCAAAATACTTTGGAAAAAATATATTCTTCTTATTATGGTTAGTGTCTATACATTCCCCCTAAAGCATCTTATACCACAGGTTGGGCTTTTCAGAGGTGGCTGGATCTAGGGCGTGTGATAATTGGGTCAGTCCATTAATTGGTTTAGCGTAGTTCTGGAGGCTGTAATGGGAAGCTCCTCTCTGGGTGTGACTGGCACCAACCACCAGGCTTGCAGCCTGGATGAGATAAAAGGGAAAGAAATGAAGCTCCTGCTGGCTACTTTGCTATCTCCTGCCTGCTTGTCATAGACTATTTCTCCTCTGTCAGACGCCTTGGCGATGCCACCCTGCCTTAGAGCCAAATAATCATGGACTGAAACCTCTACAAACTGTGAGCCAAAATGAACCTTTCCTCCTTTCACTTATGGGTGTTCAGTATTTTGTCCCAGCACCAAGAAAGTAACCAAGAAACTTCTTCCCTGTGTCAGTCAAATTAAATGGCAACATTTAAAAAGATGCCTCAAAAATGTAAACTTTGGCTGGGCGTGGTGGTGCACGCCTGTAATCCCAGCACTCAGGAAGCTGAAGCAGGAGGATCACATAGATTCGAGACCAGCCTGAGCTACACAGCAAGTTCCAGAGTAGTCTAAACTACATAGTGAGACACTGTCTCAAACTCCCCCCACAAAGTAAGCTTCAAATAACTGCACTTCTTTAAACCTGGATATTAAAGTCAACAATTACATCAATACTATCAAAAACAAGCATATTAATTTCTATTTTCTGCTATGATATAAAGCATATACCTGGTTTCTGGCTTGGATTCTGGTTTGATTTTTTGTTGCTCTTTTTTCTTTAAGGTTTTCTAGAATAAGAAAAGAACAGCTGACATTAAAAAATTATCACCTATAAAATGCTATTCCCATTGATAGAGAAAACCATCTTTCCATTTTATATATCTAAATGTTAAGTATTTATATAAATGTGTAAGTATGCTCAGAGGAATATAATTACCGAAGGTTCTCCAGCATCTTCTGGAATTCAGGAATATAATTCCTGCTAATCATTGCACTGAGCAAACACCCTTACAAAATTCGTTCCACACGAGAATTTATTAATTTATGTATTTGTCCTCTTTTATACAAAACAGATTTAATAGCTTACCAAAAAATCAAATAAGGGGCAAACACTGGTAGAAAAATAAATGCCAGGTGTTTTCTGATACTGCTTGATATGTCACATGTATCTGACTCAAAACTTCCTAGTTATCAAAATCATATGGAATGAATATGCTCTCTTCAAATCCATATTTTAAAGATCTGACCACCCAATGTGATATTTGTATAAAAGGCCATTAACGCAGTATTTAGTGTTAAGGGAAGTTATAAGTCCCAGAGGAATGATACCTTAATAAAAAGAGGAATTGACATCAGAGACAAGGCCACAAGGAGGCGGAGGCCATTTTCAACTGAGAGAGGCCTTAAGATAAACCAACTCTGCTGGCACCTTGATGTTGAACTTCCAGCCTCCAGAACTGTGAGGAAGTTATGTTGGTTAAATCATCCACAGGCTATAACACAAAGTAATGGGTGAGGGGGTGGGGTGAACCACAGTTGATCTAACATTCACAATATCAGTAATAGAAGCTATCTTATTTTCAGTGAAAAACTTTCCATATGTCACTCAGAAGATGAGTATAATGTATCCGCTTCATCAGCATAGGGGGCCTAATATGGATTTGTCTTATACAATTCTTCAATACTGATCAACAATGGAAAGAACGGTTCAGGAAGATAATTTTACTAAACATAGACTTAACGGAGCCGCTGCTTTTTTTGGTTGTTTGGTATGATTCAAAGGCAAAATTAATACATAAAGGCACTAGTGGATTTTATATCCACTTTACAAGTTTGTATAACAATTATTTGGCATGAAATAGCTTTATAAGAAATAGGGAAGAGGAATTTATGGTCATCTTGAAAATGAGGATAAGGTCAGGAATGCAGGATTGTTATCAAGTCTCCATCTGACTCTGAGAAGTCAGTAACAAAAGGTTTCTTAGCTTCTGGTAATATGACGTGCACAAGATAGCACAAGAAATATGATTAGTTTTCATGCTAAGTTTCAAATGTGCATTTGGCAACTGAAGCCAAAAGCATCTCTTAAATAAACTCCCATGAAGTACTAAGGTTGATGTAAACATGAATTGTGATGAAAACTGCATTTATATAATAAAATTATTCAGCATTGGGACATAGAGTGATCATTTTAAATATATTTTTAGCTACAAATCTCTTTTCATAGAGTTCAACTTCATCCTATGTCATTTTGCTTTCTCATACACAATCTTGACTGTGTGAGTTTTATTCTGCAGGACTCATTTCTTAAGATCAAAGATTAATCTTTCTTCCAGTTATGCTGGAAAACAACCAGATCTGTGCAGTTTATTTGGCATCATTTCAACATTTGTTACCTATAAAATTCCTGAATCATATATTCTTTCACAAAGTAAAGAATCACCCTCAAAAATAATATTTTACTTTGACATATTTCAAAAGCAATAATGAAACATGAAGCAAGACTGTTAATCGTAGCCCTGAAGATGTTACGTGCATGTGTGCATCGCTTCAAAAACACTAATGGACCAAAAAAATTAATTTTAAATCTTTCTATCCTATACTTCTGCATAAAATAATGTGTTTGGCTTGAGGCACACTGTCCTTATGTGGTACTACTATTTATACTTGCCTACTTCATCTTTTTCAATTGCTCCTTTCATGACCAGACTAACAGAATTGGCAACTTCTCCATAAAAAGTGTCAAATGTGAAGGCTGCTAAATAAACAATCTCAGACAAGTATTCTTGAGGATTTCCCCTTCTCAGATGGTCCCTGTGATATTTTTCCCATTTTTTGCCTTAAAATTTCACTGCTTTCACATTCTCCATTTATGTTCATTTCTTTCTACTGACATGACCAGAAGTTAATGTTTCGTGTCTCCTTTTTGCAAACTCAGTATTAGTTTTTGTTCTGAGTCCAGAATTTGTTCGCTTTGTCCTCTGCATACTTATATATCCACGTTTCACAGTCATTCTGCCTTAATGTTTCAACTCTCTTCTCTCTCTTAACTATGTCCAGCTGCCACTGCTTCTTTCAATGTCTTCAAACTCCTGTTCGCGCCATGGTAATATATCTCCGATGCATTCTAAACATGTGTCTGAAGATGTAGCTCATTAAAAAATCTCCTAGAAAATTTTTCAATTTTTTATACGGTATGAATACATTTATCCCAAACCACCTATCAGACTCCCCTGACATATTTTCTCAAATCCCAGAACTAAATTATTTCTGATAACTTACAAAATATTATCACATCTCAGGATTTTTTAGTAAAAAAGCTGTCTAACCTATCAATTCCCATTTTCTTTCTGAATTGTATATATTTTTTTCTTTTTTGATAATTCTCTCAGAGTGCGATAAGGCCTTTATTAAATACAAATTTATATGTGTGTGTGTGTGTGTGTGTGTGTGTGTGTTTGCTATAAAAAAGAAACAATTGTCATACTATTCTCTAACACTTATCCCCACATGTGGGTAAAGGGTCCTTGCTAAAGTAGAAAGGAATTTCATAGTTTGAAGCAGTTTTGTGACTCTACCATACATAAACACATTATCCAAGGTAAAAAGAAAAGTTTACTCAAAATCAGATAGCTGTGAAAAAAAATCATTACTAGAACATATATAGAGAATGCTAAATACACCTTAAAACATGTGAGATAGACTGATCAGCTCTTCCCACCAGGCTGGATGATGAGCATTCGTCATTCATATCCTCACACCTTCTGTGAAACAGCAGTGAGTGTCACTGCTTACACCACCACTGTGTGTCCCGTGAGAAACAGCTTAAACAGAAAAATGTCAATTGTTTACACATATACAGAACCAGAAGGCACCAAACACATCTTTCTGGGATTTTTCACAAGTCAAACTCTGTGCATTTTTGAATTTCAAAGCTTCCAAGAATATAGACAAGGCACAGAAGGGTTTTGAGGCCATATAACCACCCCTAGGAAGTTATGATATTCATGGGAAAACTCAGACAATGTCAATATCTGCTCATGAGCCAAACCAGTCCCACTTGGAAAAGTGGCCAAAAGGGTGGTATTTCCTTTACATATCTTTTCAGTGTTGGAGGTATCCCAAACATAACGCTGGGGATGGCCACTGCCTCAAAAAGCAATTTAACTTCCAGTTTGGGATTTAGCAAATATAAGTCATTTAGTTCTTTAGCTCTCATGAAAAAATATAAAACTAAAGGCATTTACTCATTTGAACAGAGGTGTTGAAGCACAGCTTAGGAGTCAAAGTAAAGGCTGATTGGAGGGGGGTGCAAATAGCTTTACTGGACTGACTTAATTTTAAAAGATATGAGAACTCCTGTTTGCTAGAATACCTTCCTACTGAGATCATAACAGTATAAAAATCCATTCTAAAAAATGTAAAAATTTTAAAAAATTAATGAATGGGTGAGCAGGTGTAAAAGTAACAAAATTCCATTCTGGCCAAAAACTACAAAATGTTGAATTTACTGTTTTATGAGTTCTAGAACCTATTTTTGTCTGGGAATTATATGGCATTTCTGATGGCCTAGGTCCTGTGTTTTTTGTGTTATAATTTAACTTTTATAATTCAAGTGAACTTTTAACTGATACATACAAAATTATACTATTTATGGGTAACACATGACATTTCAATGTATGTATATATTATGTAATATTTCAATCAGTTCAAAGTTATCTGTCTCCCTAAACATTTATCATTTCTTTATGGTGAAAATATCCAAAGTGTTTTCTTCCAGTTTTTTTAAAATATACAGTACATTACCAGTACCTACAGTCAACCTACCTTGCAGCAATGTGCCAAAACCTTTGATTATAACTTAGCACCTCACTCTTCCCCAGCCTGTTAAGTACCCATTCTACACTCAACTTCCATGAGACCAACTTTTTCAGATTACACATGAGTGAGAATGAAGCCAGGAGACAGAAATCTAGGCAGACAGGGCACAGGTCCTGAATAATTAAAGTAAACTAGAAGTCAGGGCCTAAATAAATTAGCACACCCAAACAGACTAACAGAGCCTAAAATACAAGAGAGAAAAGAACAGGGCCTTAGCCAAATGAAAGACCTTGGAGAAAGTAAAATACAAATAAAACAGCATGTTTTCCAGACATCAAAGGCCTGCCTGCAATCCACAGAATCCCTGTCTTCTGTCATATATATGAGTTTCAAAAGCGATACAAAAACCCAGTAGACCTCAACATCTATGGTGTCCGCCTTACAGACCACTGCCCTCCCACTAGCAGAGAGCTTCTCTTTTATTTATTTTATTTATTGTACTTGGCCATTTCTCGCCCCCTTGCTGTTTGCTGTTTTGACCCAAGAGCAAGATCTGGTTACAAGATCATGTGAAATTTGTCTTTCTGTTCCTGGGGCCTTCAGTCTCAGCCATATCACACAGGATTTCATCCTTCTTTATGGCTGAATAATAATTTTCTGTGTGCATAGGTACTGTACAATGAAATGAACACTTTGTTACTTCTCTACCTTACCTACTGTGAATAGTGCTAGAATGAACAGTGCAGATGTCTCTTTAACACACGAATGCCTTATCTTTTGGATATATATCCAGTAGTGGAATGGCTAGATCATATGGTGCTTCTTCATTTAATTTTTGGAGGCACGTGCACGACAATTCCTAATGGTCCAGTGCCTAGGTTTTAATAAGCTGCATTCCTTGTAGTTGAGAGAAAAACACTGAACTCAGAAAATGACAGAAGGTCAGATCTAAGAATGTCCTTCATAA